AATTAGAATTTGCATCTCTTTACATCATTATACCTCAAAACATCTCAAATGTTAACTAGAAAAACCCTTTAAGTTATGAATTCCCAAACATAAACACACATAGGTGTGTTAACACAGACAGGTACACAGACACACCCTAAGAGTAATGAGAAAAAGTATAACAGATATATACACTCAGAAAAATGTTTAAATATATTCATACAAATATAATGTACACACACCTCTCTCAGAGCAACTCTACCTACATTTACCCCAACACTATTTTCTGTATTGTGTTAAAACAAATGTTTCAAAAATTCTTTAATGAATGAGATTTTGTATTCATACTAGCACCTGACATTTATTTAATGTTCATAAATGCAAAATTTTATAAGATACCAACACTGAATTCTTAATAATTTAGAACTGTCATCTCAAATATTAATTATTCTAACTAAGCTGAAATAAAGTCTTGCCTTCAAGGGAAAGAATAATACAAATAACAGTAATGATAGCAGACCTTTACTAGGGCCACCAACCAAAAAAACACCTTATCAAAATAGATATTTACACAGGGATTCCTTTGGAGCAATTAATGCCTATCTGAAATCGCCTCAAGCAGGCACCATTGTGTGTATATGCATGCATGCTTTTTTCTATTTTATTTCCTAGTGTCCTTCCCTGATGACTGTCAGAAACTTCTTCGTAGTATATTTGTCTCTAGAATTTTTGTGCCATATCAACTAGATTACAACTATATTGCAATCAAGATTTTAAAAATTTTATCAGCAATCAATCTCAGAGAAATGGTCTGATGATTTGTACTACGAGCTTTAGGACATGAACTGTATGGCAAATGCATTACTTCCCTAAATTCTAAAGCAAGATTTTAAGATATATCACTGATTAGTAACAGCACTGCACATGGAAAACTAACACAACACTGATTTTCCTTTTCTTTGTTCAAAGTAGAAGTGAGAAAAAATTAACTGATATAACAGTTCTTCACAGCAACTTGAGCAAAAAAAGATAAAATCTGAGTTTGACAGTGTATCACAAAATTCTTGTAACAAGAAAATAAAAGCAGATGTTCTAACAGTTTGCTTGAAATGGATCTTTATTCCAGACCCCACAGGTTTTACAAAAATGGTACCATTTCTCAAGGGCACTGAATTATTTATAAATCACCACAATTTCTGCAACTACTGTATGTCAAAACTATTCAGAATTCTCAGCTAATCCAAAACCCTTACTTTATATTTGATTAAATTTGAAACTGGCAACATTCAATGTTATTCAAGGGCCAATAATTAACTGAAGAAAAGCAGGGATTAGAAGCTAAACTACTGGGTTCAGGGTTCAGATGTCCTCCCTCTACTGTCTTCTTCTTCATTGAAGCTGTATCTAATTACAATAGTAGTAAAGATGATAATAATAGTTGCTATGTACTGAGTTACTACTATGTGCTAGTAGTGGCTATATTCTGTCTCAAGTCCTTTCAACAATCCAGAAAGGCAGGTATCATTACCTCCATCTTTAAAATTGGAGGGAAAAAAAAAAGCTCAATGGAATTAAGAGTTTTACTCCAAGTCACACCTGCTGGGTTTTAGATACCCTGAGCCTCCCCTTGCCATATATGAAACATGCACTCACACTGCAGAGTTTTTGTAATTGCTAAGTTCTGTTCTAGAACACTCTTATTTCAAATACCTGAAGGATCTTCACATCACTTCTTTGAAGTCTCTTATCAAATGTTACTTGTCAGTCTTTTCTTCACCACCAAATAAATACATACCTTCCTTCCCCTTCTCACGTTTACAGTTCACATCTCATCTTTCGTCCACTGCCTTATGTTCTCCATAGCACTGTTTCCAACTAGAAAAGGTATATATTTACTTATTGTCTTTCTTCCCTAGAACGTATGCTGCATAAGGACAACTTTGTCTGTTTGGCTCATCGGTGCCTAGGAATAGGGCCCGGCTCTTCGTAGGTATTCAATATATTGTTTAATAAATGTGTGAATGGCTTAATGAATACATGCAAATTCTCTTATTTCCTTTAAGAAGCACAGATGTATTCAGAGTAATATTTCAAATACAAAAAACTAGCAAGGTATACTGCAGAGGCTCCAGCTCCAGAAGGCTAACAGATGGCCACAGCTTCAGAAGATAAGATACTCCCCAAAACGCCAGGACCACTGTATTAGTCCGTTTTCAAGCTGCTAAGACATGCCCGAGACTGGGCAATTTACAAAACAAAGATGTTTATTGGACTTACAGTTCCACATAGCTGGGAAGGCCTCACAATCATGGCGGAAGGCAAGGAAGAGCAAGTCACATCTCATGTGGATGGCAGTAGGCAAAGAGAGAGCTTGCGCAGAAAAACTCTGGTTTTTAAAATCATCTGATCCCGTGACACTCACTCACTATCACGAGAACAGTCCAGGAAAGATCCGCCTCCATAATTCAATCACCTCCCACCAGGTTCCTTCCATGACACGTGGGAATTATGGGAGTTACAATTCAAGATGAGATTTGGGTGGGGACACAGCCAAACCGTATCAACCACCATCAGTACTGTATTTCTTCTTTGAGGAAATACTTAACTCTAATCACCTATTTTTTTAATTGAATTGTTTATCTTTTTGTTGTTGAATTTAAGAAGTCCGTTATATATCCTCGATAGCAAATCCTCATTAGATACATGATTTGCAAATATTTTCTACCACTCTATACACTGTCTTTTCATGTTCATGACAATGTCCTTTGATGCGTAACATTTTAAAATTTTATGAAGCTTAATTTATCAATTTTTCCTCATTGTTCATCCCTTTTGTATCATATCTAACAATCCATTGCCAAATCCAAGCTCATGAAGATTTGCCTCTGTATTTCTCAATGACTTTATCAATTTAGCTCTCATATATAGACGTTTAACCCATTTTGAGTTAAATTTTGTATATAATATAAGGTAAGAATCTAATTTCATTCTTTTGCATGTGGAAATCCAGTTGTCTCATTATTATTTGTTGAAAAGACAAATGGTCATTTTTAAATAGAGATAGTTTTACTCCTTCCCTTATAATTTGAATGTCTTTTATTTCTTTTTCTTATCTAACTGTTTTCACCGTTGACTGAACACGTCATCCTTGTCAAAAAACTACTTAGCCATAGCAGTATGGGTTTACTATAATCCCAGCATTTTGGGAGGCCGAGGTGGGCGGATCATGAGGTCAGGAGATCAAGACCATCCTGGCTAACACAGTGAAACCCCATCTCTACTAAAAATACAAAAAATTAGCCAGATGTGGTGGCACATGCCTGTAGTCCCAGCTACTCGGGAGGCTGAGGCAGCAGAACTGCTTGAACCCAGGAGGCAGAGGTTGCAGTGAGTCGAGGTCATGCCACTGCACTCCAGCCTGGGCGACAGACAAGACTCCAACTCAGAAAGAAAGAAAAAAAAAAAGAGAGAGTATGGGTTTATTTCTGGACTCAATTGTACTCCATTGATCTCTGTCTATCCTTATGCCAGTACCACTGTTTTGATTACTGCAGCTCTGTGATAAGTTTTGAAACTGGGAAGCTTGAGTATTAAGACTTTGTTGTTCTTTTTTAAGGTTGTTGTGGCAACTTGAAGCCCCTTGAAATTTCACACAAATTTGGGGATTAGTCCTTACATTTCTGCAGCAAATTTTATAATTCTCATGGGGATTATCTTGAATCTATAGATCATTTTGGGTAGTATTGACAGTTTAACATATCAAGTCTTTCTACACAAGTTTCTGCTATGTAGAGGGCACTAACCACGGAAAGTACCAAAAAAATAAAAAAGAAAAAAAGCACTTCTTCTGACATATAGTTGGCCCTGTATCTGCAAATTTTGCTTCTGTAAATTCAACCAACTCAGACTGGAAAATGTTCAGAAAAAAAGTTTTTTAAAAAAATTATACAACAACAATAAAAAATAATACAAATTTAAAAATATACAGTATAGCTATTTAGATAGCATGTACATTGCATTAGGTATTATAAATAATCTAGAAATGATTTAATGTAAATGGTGGAGAGAATACACATGGGTGATAAGCAAATATTTTGCCATTTTACATAAGATTTGAGCATCCACAGATTTTTATATCCATAGGGGGCTCCTGGAACTAATCTCACGCCGATACAGAGAAACAACTGTAACTCAATTTTCTACAAGTATCTGTTACTTAATAAATGTATTTATATTTAACTTCTTCAGAAAATTAATTTATTTCTCATACCTCCCTTTAAGCTCTACCACCTTAACTTGCTTTTTCTCCAGACCACATTTCTACCTAATATTACTTTATGTAATTATTCCTTGCATTTCTTCATTCCCCTAAAATGTAAATTCCATGAAGGTAAGAACTAAGTTTTATTCACAGCTATAACCCCAGGACCTAGAACAGTATCTGATATATACTTATAGTTGTCAGCAGTTGTAGAATTTTGTATTTTGTTTCCCATTTACTGCTCCAGACTGTTCTAACCAACCACAGGCTTCAGATGAGATCTACTTTTGTCCCTAAGTGTTACAAAGTAGCCCTTCCAAGCTTACCATGATTATTTGAGGGCTACATGGAGAAAGAATTCCCCCTGTGTAAGAACAACACCTAGTTAACAAGTACATCTATGTAACAAGTAACATGTTGAAAGCCAAGTTTTAAGACAGTTAAGCTGCTAAGATGTTTAAATCACATAAGTGAAACTAAAAGCAGGAAGACCAGTTAGCTACTGCAATGGTCTAGGTATGCGAGTAAAGGGCCATGAAGTAGAATAGAAGAAATGGGAGGGAAAGGGAAGGGATATTTGGGAAAAACTTTGCTAGAGGAAAGACTAACTTTTCATTCTATAAATTTTCATACTACTACTAATGTACTACCTGTCAGAAATCATTTATATGTATGTGTGTACATATACACACATATATATGAAGTCACATATTTGCATATTACAGGGAAAAAGTAGAAATAGTTTGCTTATACTATATACCTTGTAGTCCAATCTGCAAAACAGCTGTTTTATTTCCACGATAAGTTAAAGAAGAGATAAGTGAAAGTTTTCCCTGAAATGAGAAAAAAAAAAATAGTTACAAAGAAAAGTCAAATGAGTTTATAATAAAACCAAGATATAAATAAAAATTAGAATTTTTATAGCAACAATTTTATCTTTCAAGAAGTCAAAGTACTGTGTTCAGGTAACTATTTTAAGACAAGGAACAGTGCTGAATTCGTTTTTCTAGAGAAAAATCAGGTCTACAAATACTTCAAGGTTTATAATATAATTTCTTAAGTAATCCTATTAGGTAGGTACTATGAGTTCCTTATTTTGCCAATAACTAGATCAACTTTCCCTGGCTTTGTTTTAATCTGTAATATTGTTCTCTAAAAAATAAAATGATGCTTGCTCCTAGAAAGAAATGAAAACTTAATAAAGATTTAGAAATGCAAAACAGAAATATCATAAATATAGTGTGGACAAATCTACAGATTAAGACGAAGTACAGTTTAGTCTTTGTTCAGCTTCTGAAACTAACCAGCTCTGTCAGTTTAAAAAAAGTTATTTGAGTCTCAGATAAAATGAAGTGTTTAATCTGGTTTCTGTAAATAAAATTTAAAAATAGATCCTATTAGCCTCCCAGGTTAATATTCCAGACTTTGATACAGCTAACAAAAAACACATCAATTTTACTTATAAAATAGAACTCAATTTTACTTATAGGAACATAAATAAAAATATGGTTATCAACAATGCATAATGATTTACAGTCAAAAGCAAAAGTAGTTACATTTAGAAGATAGAAAGCTGAAAAAAGTAACAACAAAAAGTTAAACGATCTGTAAATCTCAAAACTTTTCTTGACCCAGCAGTGCTGAGGTGACAGGGCAACCAACTAAGCAGAAATCTGAGAAAAGCAAGGTACTTCTAATGAGAATAAAACAACTGTTTTATTTCTGTCATAAGTTAAAGAAGAGATAAGTGAAAGATTTCCCTGAAATGAAAAAAAAAAAGTTACAAAGAAAAGCCAAAGTTTATAATCACACCAAGATATAAATAAAATTTTTATAGCAACTTGCTTACCTAAATGACAAATGTTCCCAGACATCTGTAAGAAAAATTCATCTAACACTTTTAATGAATTGCTAGAGGCCAAGTATGGGGCAATGAAAACACATGGAGCCCCAGAGCTGCAAACACAGGGGAATTCATATTCATTTACATGTGCTTCTCCACAGACCTGACAAGGTTCAGGACAGAAGTAGGGCAATGGCAGCAGCAGTTATTGCACGAAAGGCAGGAAACTCTGCTTGGATCTTTCTCCTCTTTCTTTCAGAACAAAGGCCTTAAAATGCTGGGAGAAGGGCAAAAAAACATGTCAATCCACAACTATTGGTGGAAACCCACTGCAGCTGAAAGGCAAGAACAGAAAAAAAAAACCTTCTATCCCTGTTAGGGGTGGGCAGGAACAGGTACATAGGTGAAAGGCCCAGACCTATACAGCTAGAGGCAAAGCAGGATCATTAAGAAGGCCCCACTCACAAGACCCGGGACCTACTGCTACCAAGACAGTCTTCATCAGAACAGAGAACATCTACCAATTAAAGGCTAACCAGTACCTAGTAAAAAGTAACATAGTCTACTACTGGAAGAGAAGACCTTGAGCAGGGAGAGAGACCTTATTTGAGGCAAAGCACAAAGGAAAGATCTAAAACTAAGGATGGGGAAGACAAAAGAAAAATCCTCTAGTCAACCAGCTCTGATCCTACATACAAAGTAACTTTAGAGGAATATGAAGCCTCTAGTGCATTGAAGAACCAACAACAACAACAAATCCCAAACCTAACTCTACCCCTGACTAGATGAACTCAATGCACCACACTAAAGACCTAGCACAAAGAAAAACCTACACATGCCCAGAAACAAAAACTACCTCAATTTCCACTGTCCTACACAAGACGTATAGCTTTGAACAATAACAACATATGAGACATACAAAAAAGGCAAGAAAAAACACAAAGCAATCAAGAGAACCACAATCAATCAGATTAAATGACAACTTAATCAGGAGGGGTAAAGTTGAATAGCTGCCCTATATAAACTCCTAGATGCATCATTTCAACCTTCCTCACTGAGAGTACAAGAAATCCCCTTCACATAGCAGGAAGACATCTGGCCCTCACTGCATCGCTCTGAATGGGGAGGACAGGCAGGGAGTTATTGCTGAGATATGCTGAAATGGAGCAGTTGCTGAGAATAATATAATTATGTGGTGCTTAACAACAGGGATACATTCTGAAACATGTGCTGTCAGGCAATTTCATCTTTGTGTGAACATCAGAGTATGCCTAAACCAACCGACATGGTATAGCCTACTATACACCGAGGCTATACAATATAGCCTATTGCTTTTAAGCTATAAACCTGCACAACATATACTGTATTAAATACTGTAGGCAATTATAAGACAATTGTAAGTATGTATCTAAACATATACAAACCTAGAAAAGGTAAAGTAAAAACACAGTACTATGATCTTATGGGACGGACCACCATCATATATGCAGTGCATTGTAGACTGAGATATCGTATACACTGCATAACTGTGATAAGAGTCTGACTCTATTCTACAAATTCTGTTTGCTTTTAGGACAAAAATGAATTAGTATAGATATAAAAAACATAACACATCCTGTTATGGACTGAATTATGTTCTCCCAAATTTCAGGTTGAAGATCTAACCCCCAACAACTCTGAATTTGACTGTATTTGGAGACAGGGCCATTAAAGAGGTAGTTTGGTTAAAAAGAGGCCATTAGAATGTGCCCTAATCCAGTCTGACTGGTGACATCAAAAGAGAATGGGACATACAGAAAGATACCAGAGTCTCGGGCAAGCACAGAGAAAAAGCCAGGTGAAGACACAGCAAGAAGGTGAGCATCTGTAAGCCAAGGAGAAAGACTTCAGAAGAAACCAATCCTGCGGCCACTCTGATACTGATCTTCTAGCCTTCAGAACTATGAGAAAAATAAACGTTTAAGCCACCCAATCTGTGCTACTTTGTTATGGCTGACCTGACAAACAAATATACACTTCTTAAAAACTGGGGATTTTCTAAGCTCAGTGACCCTCAGATGTGCTACAAACTCCATGTGCACATTATGTACCTGGCCCTGCCCCCATGGGACTTGGGGAGGAAAGAAGAACCAGTGCAAACATGAAGTTCATGTTCCCTGCTGTGCCAATAAGTAATATACTACCTAAATTTATTTGGGTGCCTTGCCTCCTTAACAGCTGAATCTAGAGAAGTGTAGCATGTCAACCTACAAGCTATATCATATACTGTTGCTTAGGAACTATTTGAACACTTGACATTTACTCAAATGAAATAAAAACCTATGTTCAGATAAAAATCTGTACATACATATTTACAGTTGTATATTCACCATCACAAAAACTGGAAAGAATCCAAATATTCCCACACTGGGCAATGGATGAATAGGCTGCAACAAAATTCTAATCACCAACAGAAAGAAGTACTACTGAAAAAAAACAACCTGAAAGAATGTCAGATGCATCATACTAAGTGAAAGAAGCCAGATGCAAAAGGCTACATGCTGTATAATGCCATTTATAGGACATTCTTGAAAAACAAAAATACAGTGCCAGGAAATTGGTAAGCGGTCATGAGTGGTTAGAGTTGGCAAAGTAGCTAACTATAAAATTCTAGAAGGTGATGAACTACTTGATTGTGATTGTGGTTACATACACATTTGCACATATTTGTCAAAACTCATAGAAGTCTACACAAACAAACAGAATGTAGCACTAAAATCCATTTAATAAAATTCAAAAAACATTGACATCTGCAGATTAGAAAAGGGTATGTAAGTACACAATAGAGAGCTGAAAAATGATTCCAATATGTAAAAGAACACAAATACCTCAATCTTTTTTTTAAAAAAACGAGCATTCTACATAGCAATCTGTTAACCATGAGAAATACATAAAAGGTATTTCCTAGTTTTAGCCCTACTAGATACTAACATGTTCACTTATAGCTAAAAGAATTCGTTAATAAAAATGTTAAAATTGGACAGGGGTGATAGCTCATCCCTGTAATCCCAGCACTTTGACAGGTCAAGGTGGGAGGATTGCTTGAGGGTGCAGAGTTTGAGACCAGCCTGGGGAACACAGAAAGACCCTGCCTCTATAACAAAAAAAAATTTTTTTTAATTAGCTGGCTGTGGTGGCATGTGCCTGTAATCTCAGCTACACGGGAGGCTGAGGTGGGAGGATTCCTTGAGCCAAGGAGTTTGAGGTTACAATGAGCTACGATCACACCACAGCACTCCAGTGTGGGTGACAGAGCAACATCCAACTCTTAAGCAAACAATTAAGAAAATGTTGAAATTAAAAAAATATTTCATTAATATAAGTAGGAACAAAAATAAAATAAGAACTTAGTAAACTGTCATAGTATTTAACATCTCTATATCAAGCATACAAAACAATAAAAGTATGTCAAAATTAGATGCAGCTTGGAAATAATCATTATCAATGATATGTTAAAAAGGAATCAAATCATGGCACTTTATTAATAAATACAAGTATACAAGAAATATCACACTAATTGACCAGATGTAAAATAAGTTGAGAATGCTAACAAGCATTTGATAATAATTTAAATGCAATTAAGTAGAAAAGACCAACTGTAATTCATAACACTTCATTTAATAAGAAAGAAAATTCCAGGAAAATAAATAGAAATAAAAATTAAAAAGAAATAGGTGAGTAAAATGTGTTACAAACAAATGTCTACATGAAAAATATAGACAAGCAAAACTGAAATGTAGATTTTTTTATTATCAGATATATTTTATCCCTCACTCCCTCAACTAAAATTAAAACACTCACTAAAAATGCATCCAGAATATTGGATATGGCAGACAAAAGGTTCAGTGAACTCAAAGAGAGAGCAACAGAAATTACTCAACTGAAAATCCTCTCTGCCACACAAATAAAACACAGTAAAAGAGAAAGGAACAGAATCTCAGAGATCTGTGTTACAGTATCAAACAGCCTAATACGACATACACATGTAATTGGCATCCCAAAAACAGAAAAGGGTAATAATGTGGCAGAAAAAAAATATTTCAAGAAATACTATCCAATAATTTCCCAAATTTGATGAAAAACACTGAATAAATCCAAGAAGCTCACTTACCCACAGAGAAGAAATTCAAAGAAAAAGCATACTTAAGCACATGCCAGTCCAACTGCTTAAACTAAAAGATAAAATAGAAAGGGGACAGTAAAAAAAATGCAAATCACATACAAAACAATAGAAGCCAGAAAGCAGTGGACTGGTATCTCTACAGTCCTAAAAGAAAAAAAAAGTCAACACAGAATTCTATATCCAATAAATACATCCCTCAAAACAAACATGAAATAAAGGCATTTTCAAATGAATGAAAGCTAAGAGAAGTTATCTCCAGCTGAAATATATGAAATGGCAGACGTTTTTCAAGATGAAGGGAAATAATGCCCAGATAAAAATGGATCTACAGGTAAAAATGAAGAACACCAGAAATGGTAAATATGTCAGTAAATATAAAGACCATATTTTTTCCTTCTTTTAATTTCCTTTAGACTCATTGTTTAAAGCAAAAGTAGTAATGTAAGGTAGAGTTTATAATACACGTACATGTAAAAAATATAACAGCTCAATGAACAGGGGAGTGAGTAAATGGAATTTCACTATTATAAGATTCTTATATTTGTCAAGGGAAGAAAAAAGCAGGATTGAGAAATAACAACTGTACCATGGGGAATGGTACAATAGTAGCTGTAAGTATACCTTAGTAAGGATGCATATTGTTAGCACTATCATAACCACTAAAGGAACAAAACAGGTGTTGTTCAAAGCCAATGGAGAAAATAAAATAGAATAAAAAATATTTAACCCAAAAAACTCAGGAAGGAAAACAAAAAACAGGAAAAACAAAGGGAACTCAAATCGTTTCATAGACAAACAAAACCGTATCAATAATTATTTTAAATAAGTTGACTATGCTGATTATATAGTAGGACTGTCAGACTGGATTAAAAAAACATGATCTTATTATATGCTAAGAGATAATTAAAATACTAAACCATAAATAAGTTGAAAAAGAAAGGAAATGTTGATACACTCTTAATATAAGGCCACACTACCAAAGGCACCAAAAATCAAAGCCAAAGTATCTTAACCAACAACATATACACATCTTCAGAAAACATTTCTTCCCTACAAATGCAATTTCAAAAAAAAAAAAGGACCAAGTAATTGCTACACCAGATGCACAGATATCAAAGGGCACAGAAAACATGAAAAAGCAGAGAAATACGACATCGCTAAAAGACCACAATTATCTAGCAATAGATATCAATTTTAAAAAATTCCTCAAAATGCCAGATAAAGAATCCAAACTAGTGATTTTAAAGAAGTTTAATGAGATGCAAGAGAAATCTGAAAACCAATACAAAGAAATCAGAAAATCAACTCAGGTTATGAATGAGAGATTTACCAATGAAACAGAGATCTTTAAAAAAACAAGAAAGAAAGAAAATGGAAACCATGAATTAAAAAATTGAAGAAAATATAAAATATATTCAAAAGATTCAATAACAGATTAGACCAAGCAAAAGAAAGAATCTCAGAACCTGAAGACAGAACGAAATTTTGAAATAATGCAGTCAGGCAAAAATAGGAAAAAGTATAAAAAGGAATGAGCAAAGCCTTTTGAGATGTTCAGGACTACATAAAGCAAACAAACGTATGAATTATCAGTATTCCTAAGGAGAAAGAGAGATTAGAAAGTTTAAAAAACCTATTTAAGGAAATAATCAATGAAAACTTCTAAAGTCTAGGAAGAGAGTTAGACATCCAGATACAGGAAGCCCAGCTATCCCAAGGAAAATACACTGCAAAAAGGACTTCACCATAGCATATTATATTCATAACGTGTAAAGTCAAAGTTTAAAAAAAATAATTTTAAAATTACCAAGAGAAAAGCATTTATCTAGTCACCTATAAAGAAAACACTATAAAACTAACTGGACTTTTCAACAAAAATCTTACAGGCCAAAAGGGAATGGATGGCATTTTCAAAGTGCTCGAAAAAAAGAAAAAAAAAAAGTAAGCCAAAATTTTATATACTGCCAGAAGAAGCTTAATAAAAGAGATATAAAAAATTTCCTAGACAAGCAAACAATGTGGGATTCAGTAGAGAAAAAAGTAGAAAGATCACAAATTAACACACTAGCATCACACCTCAATGAAACTAGAAAAAAAAAGAACAAATTAAACTCAAGAGTTAGCAGAAGCAAAGAAATAACAAAGATCAGAGCAAAACTAAATGAACAAGAACCAAAAACAACAACAAAAAAACCCAAAGGATCAATGAGACAAAAAGTTGGTTATTTAAAGAGAGAAACAAAATTGATGAACTATCAGCTAGACTAACCAAGAAAAGGAGAGAAGAGATCCAAATAAAATTAGAGAGGAAAAAGGAGACATTACAACTGATACCACAGAAATTCTAAAGGTAATCAGAGACTATTATGTATAACTATATGCCCATAAACTAGAAAACACAGAAAAAAAGGATAAATTGCTGGTGTTATGCCCAGACCGTTTGTTCCCCAAAGAAGACCACCAGAGTCCAGAGTCAAACGTTTGTTCCCCAAAGAAGACCACCAGAGTCCAGAGTCAAAGCCAAGCGGCAAGGATCTTTTACTGCAAGTTCGAACTTGGTCCCTCCCTTCCACAGCATACAAGAGGGCCTCGAACAATGCGAGTGCTTGCTTTTTATAGCCCGATGTAAACAGGATATGTAAAGTTACAGGGGAACAAGGGAATTCTTTTGGTTACGACATTACAATTGGTTAACATTATACATTTAGCATTTTTTATTGGTTCCCGCTGTGCCCTTACCGGAGATTTCCCAGGTGGTGTTTTTCTAAAGTTGAGAGAGATATGGAGGAATGTGTTTGTGCTGGGCTCAGGAAGTTGGGAGATATATGGAGGAATGTGCCTGGTTTCTTTTCACTGGAAACATATGACCTCCCAAGATTGACCCAGGAAGAAACAGAATTCCTGAACAGATCAATGATGATAGCAAGACTGCATAGTAATACAAAAAAAAATCCCAATAAAACAAAGTCCAGGACCAGATGGATTCACAGCCTAGATGTACAAAACACAAAAAGAGCTAACACCAATCCACCTGAAACTATTCCAGAACTACTGAGGAGGGAATTCTCCCTAACTCATTCTACAAGGTCAGAATCACCCTGATATCAAAACCAGACAAAGACACACAAAACAAAAACTACAGACTAGTGTCATGCGCATCCGTGTGAAGAGACCACCAAACAGGCTTTGTGTGAGCAACATGGCTGTTTATTTTACCTGGGTGCAGGTGGGCTGAGTCTGAAAAGAGTCAGCGAAGGGAGATAAGGGTGGGGCCATTTTATAGGATTTGGGTAGGTAAAGGAAAATTACAGTCAAAGGGGGGTTGTTCTCTGGCAGGCAGGAGTGGGGGGGTCACAAGGTGCTCAGTGGGGGAGCTTTTTGAGCCAGGATGAGCCAGGATGAGCCAGGAAAAGGAATTTCACAAGATAATACCATCCCTTAAGGCAAGGACTGGCCATTTTCACTTCTTTTGTGGTGAAATGTCATCAGTTAAGGCAGGGCATTTGCACTTCTTTTGTGATTCTTCAGTTACTTCAGGCCATCTGGGCGTATACGTGCAAGTCACAGGAGATGCGATGGCTTGGCTTGGGCTCAGAGGTCTGACAACTAGTATCTCTGATGACAGACACGCAAAATTATCAACAAAATAACAGCAAATTGAATCCAACAGCATGTCAAAAAGATCACACACCACGATCAAGTGAGACTTATCTCAGGGATGCAAGGATAGTTCAACATACACAAATCAATAAGTGTCATACACCACATAAACAGAATTAAGGACAAAAACCAGATGATCATCCCAACCGATGAAGAAAAAGCATTTGACAAAATTCATATTCCATTCATGACAAAACTCCTCAACAAACCAGACACAGAAGGAACATCCCTCAACATAATAAAGGCCATGTATGACAAATCCACAGCCAACATAATACTGAATTGGGGAAAGGTTGAAAAGATTCCCTCTAAGAATTGGAACAAGATAAGGATACCCACTTTCACCACTCTTATTCAATATAGTACTGCAAGTCCTAGCCAGAAAAATCAGGCAAGAGAAAAAAACAAAAGGCATCCAAATTGGAAAAGAAGTAGTCAAATTATCATGGTTGGCTAATGATACGATCTTGTATACAGAAAACCCTCAAGACTCCAACAAAAATCTCTTAGATTGATAAATTAAGTAAAGCTTCAGGATACAATATCAATGTACAAAAATCAGTAGTGTTTCTATATACCAATAAAAAGCTAGCTGAGGATCAAGAATGCAATCCCATTCACAATAGCTGCAAAAATAAAATAAAATACCTAGGAATATACTTAACTAACAAGGTGAAAGATCTCTGCAAGGAAAACTACAAAGGACGGATGAAAGAAATTGCAAACAACATTAAAAAAATTGGAAAAACATCTCATGCTGGTGGATCAGAAGAATTAATATTATTAAAATGAACATACCGCCCAAAGCTACAGGTTCGATGCAAACCTTATCAAATTACTGATGTCATTCTTCACAGAATTAGAAGAAAACAATGATAAAGTTCATATGGAACCAAAAAAGAGGCCAAATTGCCAAAGCAATTCTAATCAAAAAGAACAATGGTGGAGGTACACATTGCCTCACTTCAAAACATATTACAAGGCAACCAAAATAGTATGGTAGTAGTATAAAAATGGAGACACAGATAAATGGAACAAAACAGAGAAACGAGAAATAAAGTCACATACTTACAGCCAACTGATCTATGACAAAGATGGCAAGAACACTACACTGGGGAAAAGACAAAGTTTTCAATTAATGGTGCTGGGAAAACTGGATTGCCACATGCAGAAGAGTGAAACTGGACTCGTATATGTCACCATATATGAAAATAAACTTAAGATGGATTAAACATTTAAATGCAAGACCCAAAACTATAAAAATACTAGAAGAAAACCTAGGAAAAACTCTTTTAGATATTGGTTTAGGCAAACAATTCATGACTGTAGAGGTGGCCTGCCCCTCCACACCTGTGGGCGTTTCTCGTTAGGTGGAATGAGAGACGTGAGAAAAGAAATAAGACACAAAGTATAGAGAAAGAAAAAGTGGGCCCAGGGGACCGGCGCTCAGCATGCAGAGGATCCATGCCGGCACCGGTCTCTGAGTTCCCTCAGTATTTACTGATCATTATCTTTACCATCTTAGAAAAAGGGAAGTGACAGGATAATAGGATCAATCGTAGGGAGAAGGTCAGCAGTAAGACAGGTGAGTAAAGATCTCTGTGACAGAAGTTTAAGGAAAAATGCTGTGCCTTGATATGCATATGTAAACATCTCCATAAACCTTTTTAGTGCATAAAGAGCAGCATGACACTAGCAAGTCCCGCCTTTCGCCCTAAGGCAGTTTTCTCCTTTCTCAGTAAACGGAACAGACAATCGGGTTTTACACCGAGATGTTGTTCCATTGCCCAGGGATGGGCAGGAGACAGATGCTTTTCTCTATCTCAATTGCCAAGAGGCTTCTTTCCTCTTACACTAGTCCTCCTCAGCACAGACCCTTCACGGGTGTCAGGCTGGGGGACGATCAGATCTTTCCCTTCCCACGAGGCCATATTTCAGACTATCACATGGGGAGAAACCTTGGACAATACTTAGCTTTCCTAGGCAGAGGTACCTGCGACCTTTGGCAGTGTACGTG